CGAGGCAAGTCCTACCCACAGCAACCCTGTGCAAGCAACGCTGCTTCGCACTAGCTCTGGTCTGCTTGATTCATGCAGAAAAAATGAAATGACAGCAAATCCAAGTGGCAATTCACAGCTGTTGAGCTCTTGGTTGGCTTGTAAAGTCTCACCACAACTTTCTGCCCGAATCCCATGTTACAGGCGCAGGTTCCGCGCCAGGGGCAGCTCCTCACCTTTGTCCTGGTAGTGCCACCCCCCGGTGTAGTACTCATCCAGGAGGGCCGGGGGCCTCCAGGACTGCAGGATGTAATCCACCTGGTACTGCTTGCGCCAGGCCAGCGACTGGCACAGCATCTCCCGAGCCTTGTCGATGTTGAAGTCGCGCGCCCGCAGGAACCGGAGGATGTGCTCGTCCTTGGGGATCTGGGAGAGGAGACAGCCCCAGAATCAAGGCCGGTGTGTTCCATGAAGCCTGCAGACACGGCTGCAGAGTGTACACCGTTTTTCCATCTCTTGCAGCTGAGCCAACAAACCCCAGACCTGCCTTGGCTCCGCACCCGGCTGGGAGCAGCAGAGGGTGCTAGGAGCACAGCTCCCAGCCCGGGCAGCCTTTCCCTGACCCAGTTCGCAGAAGCCGCAGCAAACCTCGGGCTGGCTGATGTTTCCCTCAGCTGGTTATCCGCCGGGTCCAGCACAGGAGTGTGCCCAGGCTGGCAAGCTGCAAGCTGACCTGCCCAGGCAGAGCAGCCCCAGTAGCACGCTGACCATGCCAGGCAGGAGCTGCTTGGAGGGGTGTCCCAACCACCAGTTCCAGCTCCTGTGTGGGCTCTGCTGCTGGGGTTGGGACAGGAACACTGCTGAGTGCTTCCCCAGGCTTCCCTGCCCGTCCCACCACACCAGCTCCTGAACCCCAGCACACCCTCCCTCCCACACTCAGCCCAGCACTGTCACGACTTCTACAGGCACTAAAGCCATCCCAAAGCAATTCTGTAGAAGGGCTCTTCCAGCCTCCTTCCAGACCTCTCACGTTCCCTTTGGCTGAGCAATCAAAGGGAGCTCAG